TTACGATTTAAGCATTCACTTTTTGTATTTTACTTTTCAATTGCTTTTGACTTTACTGCATATTTACAAGTTTCCCATTTACATTCCCCACAACATTCAGCTCATTACGTTTCTGCAAACTTTACTTTCAATGCTTTCTTTGCAAATCTTTACATTTCTTCAAATCAACAAAGCCAACACTGTTCTTCTATTTAATTTTCATAAATCAAATTAACCGGTCACAACGAAAACGAGATGTTAATTGACTTGTTTTACAGATAAAAAATATTGATAGTTAATGTAAACTAATTCGAGTTCAGTGCTCCTTTCACTGACCAGAAAACTATAATCTTATGAAACAAAGTGAAAAGTGTTTGAAATTAAATGACAAAGATAAGATGAAAGTGTATCTTTGAAGCACAGCAACCTTAAAAAGTAGGTCTGAAGAAAAACCGAAGTGAGATGAAGAAATTACCTGAAACATGCATGCAGAGATTGGATGGGGAAAAAATGATTTAAGGGCGATGGAAAATTCCGAAGGGATCGCATGATCGAAATCAGTGAAAAACCAGAGCTGCATGGGAATGCAAGATTTAGATCAATGCGATCCCTTTGGAAGTGTCCACCAACAATAAGGTTTTTGCTGTCGTCGTTCATCCAAAGAGGCTCACACCATATCTCTATATATGCTGAAACTGTGGGCTCCTTCATGATTCATGACGGTAAATGGAAAGTAAAATGATGGTGTGGGGCTTTTCATGCCTTCCATGCATTCTCTACTTGTTTCGATTCTCACATGCACTTCGACTCACCTCAAATCAATGCTTCAAACAATCGAATTACTCAACCACCTTTTTAATAATTACAGTAAGTAAACATTAATATCTCTTAACCTATCTTAGGTGAATGAAGTGAAGACAATATGACTGAGTTTCCAATGCGTGTATGTCATTGATTAAATATTGCATTAGGTTTTGGATGAAACATTGGGGACATAAAGCAAAAGCACACATAATGAAGGAAAATTCTAATGTGTGTCATTATCAAAAAAGACTATGCCTAGCTTCTTCCCAACAGCATTAGCTGTTTGATAGCAACCTTCACCATCCTTAAAAGCCAAATAATCTTGCATTATATTGTCGGTCCTGTAATTATTAACACAATTCACTGCTCATTAAATGGACTCAATGTTTCTGAATTAACCTATAGATATACACCACCCTATACTTAAGAACTGTTTGCCAATATATATATTTTTCTTTTTTGAAAAGTCATACTAATGATCATGGTCATGGACATGAAAAAGAGGTTTGTATTTCCCAAAACCATAAGAGTTGAAAAACAATAAATTATTAGATGAGTGGGAATGGAGGACAAGAAAAAGCAAAGACATTTATTTATCATTATTATTAATAAGGTAGGAAGAAAGGAAAATGGTAGCTACTATTTTACGATTTCTCTATTCATTTTACCTATTTCCAAATTATAATAATATTATCTTTCTTTTTCTTTCATTGATATTATTTTTTTTATCAACATCATCGTAAGTGTTTTAAGGTTTCGTCAAAAAATAATTTGACTCAATGAAAACATAAGGTAAAAATTATTTTTATCAAGTTCAGTTCCCACTGTGTTGAAATAATCGGAATTCAATATATTACCTGTTGTATGTAATTATTTTATTATTATTTTTTTATGTTTGATGCATGCATGATTATTACTCATGCACATGTCATTACTTTTTCTTTTGGGTCAACTATTAAAATTATTTATTCATTGTTTTAATGACTTTTTCTTCAATTTTTGTGGTGAATACTCAAACAACTTACCGATCATCGAACCAAAATCATCAACAATTCTTCGTCCTACAACGCAATCAAGTGATCATGTCCACGCAAAGTTTGATCGTTTCTTTCTATAAACCTGTAGTTGTTTATATTATTAAATCATATCAAGTTGACGCTAAATTAATAACATAGACTAGTTTTAACAACCACTTAGATATGGTGATTGGTTTTTGACTAAGGATAAAAAAAAATCCTCAGTGCAACAAAAGAAGGTGTTTTTCCTAGATAATTTGAATGGCAGACGTAAGAAAGTCGATAATTTGTTGTGATCAAAGGTGAATCACATGACTTGAAAGTTGAAGCCTGGCAAAGTGAACAAAACAGAGAGGTGTAAATGTTTACGAAGTGGATAGTGCTAGAGTGACCAAAGGGAGCACTGCACTGATATTGCCTCAAAATAAAGAACTGCATCACATAGCAGGTAGGTACCTTTTTCAAAGTACATAGGACGTTTGGTCAAAATCGGGAATCCTAGGGATCAGGACCCTACACAAATAGCTTCAGATACTAGTACTACACAAGATTTGGTTCCACCATATATAACACATCGTTTCTCTCATCCATATTTTCTGTCAGTTTATACACTATTAGTCATTTGATTCGTGTTAAGAGAAAAGAAAACTGAATAAGACAAGTTAAAACAAAGTTTAGGGTCTGTGAATGAAAATTAAAATAACTATTTTCTGAGGTCTATTTTTGCCATGACCCACTTAACCTACCCTTGGCGCAATTCCGGAGATTTCCCTTACAACTTACCCTTTAAAGTCTCCCTCTAAAAAAGTACTGTCTGCTACTCATTAGACACTACTAATTGGCTACCAACACCATCTCTCAATCCCTTACTATTTCTTCTCTTCCAAACTATGCAGATACAAAGAAATTATGAACCACCACTTTCAAACTCTAATCACTAACTTAATGTTGCCTTTCTACCTTCAAAAAAGCAATAACTTAGGCACACAATTAACGAGCATAGCCTTTGGCACCGTTGTTGCTCAAACCTTAATTGGTCTTATCAGGAGTTTTTATTTAATGAAGGGAAAACTGTTGCAGCTTTTTACCAATCCAAAGACAAAGAAAGAAAAAGCACGGCACGGAGCAAGGCTTTACAATTAGGCCTTAAAATATTAGTAAGATTGGTTGTTGAAACTCTTTGAACATGTCACAAATTCTTCGTTACAATTACAACTTGACCCCTCTCGTTAAAGAAATATAATTAAGGTCATGTGACTTGTCTTTTCCCTCTTCAGTCTACACCTCTTCTGCAACATTTACACTGCTTCAAATGGAATCACACCTCAACATCTTACACTTTGAGACTACAAACTCGGCAAAGGAATAGCCATCAAAACAAACTCCAAATATTTATTGTCTCAATGCAAAACTAACTTTCTAAATACATTCAAAACCCCACAGAAAATAGTATGGCATTGTAAAAATTGACCTCTGTATAAACATTATAATGACATATATACATATCAACACAGCCGAAAGACAAATATATATATATATATATATATCTCCTGCCATTGCAGTTTTGAAATTCAAACACAACTTTATTTTTCTGAAACTTCAAAATTTGACCGTGTGTTCTCTTAACAAATAAATATGGTTCTTATAAAATATGGTTCTTTGACCATGTGTTCTCTTATAAAATAAAAACGAAAAAGTAAACTAAAAAAACGTAATTGGAAATATGGTTCTTATAAAATAATTCAAACAAATTTGTTAATTCGTATTTTTAAATACGGTTAGCATATACTTTTTAATTTTTTTAGTTTTATAATATTATTTGTTTATTTTAATTAATATTTTGTAAATTAAAATATTAATATATATTTATTTATATGAAAAATATTAAATTAATTAATTATTTATTGTTATTATTTAAAAATAAAAAAGTAAACAATTAAAAAAATTTAACCAGTTTTTAAACACGGATAAGGTTATTTTTGAGAATTTAGAGATGCAAGACGAAAATGAGAAGGTGTAGAGGAAACGTTCTTTTCTTTTATAAAGTCTGGAGTTCAAAATGAATGGGTTTGTTACTGATGTTTAAAAAAAATTAGTAATTGTTTCATAATTCTATAGTTGAAAAAAATAAAAACTTATTCAATTAATAAATCACGATCCTTAAAAATAGAACTGAAAATGCAATAAATATTTAAAATATTGCTAACATGGCATTCTACAAGAAATCCAAGCATCTCTATTCAAAGTTACAACCAACCAACCAACGATATACACCTTTCCCTTCGGCTGATGTATATAGGCTATGGCCTCTTTGTCAGCTGATACATAATATATTGTTTTCCTCTTCTGAGTAAAGTGATATACACTTTTCTTCACGTGAGTCTCACGATTCTCATGGTATTTCTTTAATTCTTTAATTGGGTATTGCTTTATGTAATCAAAATTCAACCACTATTGCCTCTTTATAGTGGGATATCATTCTTTATAATTATTTACAGCTTGTAATTACCTAAGTTAACCATTTAATCTAAGATGTTGATGTTGTTAAGTAATGTTTGAATTTGGATGTTTACTTTACTTATTTACCAAATTATGCATTTAATACACAACTATCATTTTATAACAATGTTTGAAAAAAATGGTGAATACTTTGATTACACAGTTATACAAAAATTTAGTAGAGTTAATATACTTTTAGGAGAGGGAAGAAGTATTGGGAGAAGAAAAATGAAAAGATAAAAAATAAGTGGAAAAAAAGAAAAAAGTAAACTAGATTACAATATTTATTAACAAAATTTTTTATATGCTGATAAATTTTATTAATAGATTTTTTTTTGTTAATAATTATAAATAAAATTCTTATTATTTTGTTGATAAAATTTATCAATAAATTTTTAGTTGTCTAGTAGACCGTCAAATTTAAATATTATCAATAAATTTTATCATTGTAATACTCGTTAGTGTATAAAAATGCATTAATTAGTAATTATTATAGTTAATACTAGTGTTTATTTATTTCTTTAAAATAATAATAAATAAAAATGTAATTAAAATAAACTTCATTAATTTTTTAATTAATAAATTAAAAAACTTTCAATTAACCTCTTTGGAGAAGATTCGAAGGCGTGATCTCCTTGATCAAATGCCGGAGATTTTAACCACAGAACTACCTAAAATTGATAAAACATTGTCTACCCTGAAAACAATTGATGCATTGTAGAATACTGAACTCTAAAAATCCCTAAACCCCCTTCTTCCCGCGCCTTTCTCTTCCGTATTATTCTCAAATTTCTTGGTTCTTCGCCGTTTTCTCTCAAGAAAATGGCTACACAGTTCGGCATCAAATTGGCCGTCCACCTCATCACCAACCACTTCGGCAATCTCGTCGCTGTAATTCTCTCACTTTCGCGTCTCTCTGATTTATTTTGCATGGGCATTGATATTGAAGTTTTGTGTGTGCAGAAAGTATGCGAAAATCTATTTAGTCATGGAGCCCTCACTTTGGATCAATTGGTTCGCTACTCGGAGCTTACTAAGGACCAAGTTAAGAACTCCCTACTCGTCTTAGTTCAACACAATTGTTGCCAAGCATTTGTTTCTGCTCCTGAAGATGACGGTATCATAACACTATTTTTTTTTTGTTTAATTCCTTTGTTGTATTCTTTTTTTTTTTTTGCTTTTCTTTTTCTTTTTAATTATCATTGTCTACTTGCAATAAACATGTTGGAGTAAAATAGTTTTTAAAAAACGGACTTCCTAGCTTTAGTGGTAATGTTTGCAACGAATACTTCTTCATTAGGGCGTGATTGGCTAATTATGATGTTCTGAATTATTATGAATGCAGATGATGATGTAGACAGATTGAGAGTTAGGACTCAGTACTTGGTGTTGTTTGATAACATAATCCACCGATTGAGATTTTCCAAATTCTTGGAGACTGTGTCGCGGAAGCTTGATGAAGAAGTCGGTTTGATCCTTATTGGTTTCTTTGAAGCTTTTCCTTTTATGACTTAAAATGCTCAGTATTGTCCACTTGTTTTGCAGTGTGTGGAACTTCTTGATGGTTTGCTTCGCGATGGTAGGCTTACCCTGAAACAAATGGTTGACAGAGCAAGTCAAGGGAAAGGCAAGTGTTTTATGATGCAGTTGATAGGTCGAGTGCTGTTTTGCTTATATTTGTTGATTTTATTATAACAAAAGGTATTTTTTACACAAATCCGCACATATTTTCTTTTTAAGATTTGTGTAACCTAACGACTAAATCATATTTGGTTTAGTCATAATTCCTTTTTAAAACTATGAAAACAAAAGGTATGTTTGGAGTGGATCAAGGTACATGTACTAGCATTATGGTCTGATTTGGGTTGGGTTATAAGTGTGGTACATCTTACACAACTTACTAAATTTGTTGTCCATGAAGAGGTAATGATACATAAAGAACTATACGAGTCTTTCTAAATTATGTTAAAGGGTGATATATTACTAGGCCTATAATTGAGCAGGATATTCATTTTAATCAAACATACAATTAACTCTGAATAATATGTTGAAATTACTGTATTTAAAACATGGTTGAGCTCACCTGGATCTCGCAAAATCATGAATCCTTTCAAATTATTTTATTTTAAATGATATACTTGCAGAAAATGCCGTGGATACAAAAGTTGTACGAGAGATACTGAGTAAGCTTTTAACAGCTCGACTTGTCGAACGCTGCCCTGTCCCTGAGCCAGTTGTTTCTACCTCATTTAAAGAAACTACTACTAGGAAGCGGGGTGCTAAGTCTGCCAAGGTAAATAACTGCTCACTCAGGTCAATTTCCTTAGGAAGTTGGGTGATCTTTGGTTAATGGTTTGGGGTGAGAGGCATTTGCTGTCTATTGGGTGTGAGCAGGTGAGATTTCTAATGGGGTTCCACTAACAGCTTTGTTGAGGAATAGTAAAGCTTTTTTCCGTTTGATTTAGTTATATCCTAGTTGATATGAGATCTCTAACATATAGTGAGATCAATTTACAATTAATTGTTGATTTTTGTATGCACTATGATCCTTCATTTATTGCTTGTTGTTTAAGATGCTTGGTCAAATAAGTGCTATTAAGTTGAAAATTCTCAAATATTCTTTGTTACCATTTTATTGAAGTTGCAACAGCAATGTGTTCACTTTCTGAAGCTGGATAATAGAGTTTTCTAAAATCACTTCAAACTTTGTAATTTATGCCTTTCAGATATTTGAAGCACCTGAGACATTACAGCAACGTGTTGTAGAAGCAGCAGTGCCTGGGGATGCAATCAGATTTTCATTCACTGCGGATATGAAATCTAATGTTGACAGGGAAACAAATTCAGATGATGATGAAATTGGTAGCGTTCAACAGAATGATGGTAGGACTACTGTCATCTTTTGTGGTCAGATCAACTTAGTAGTTTTCAGTTAACAAAATTTTTGCATACAAGTATAATTTTTTTAAATCATACAAAATTTGGTGCAGAAAAAGAGGAGGAAATTCTTTGGCGTGCCAATTTTGAGGAGTTTATTCGTCATCTTAGACATAAGGTAGATATTACAATATATTTCTTATCTAACATGGTGCTATCACTACCCAGTCTACCTTTTTTTCCTTGAATTTTGACCTTTTTTGTGCATTTATTTTATTTAACTTACTGTGAAAGGGTATTGAGCTTCGGAGTTATAAAAGCATACTAGATGGTCAGTGATAGTCAAACGTTTTGAATAAGAATCACAGATATTTTATTTGCAGAAAAGCTATTTTCTAGAGTATATAAGTGATCAAAGTTAAATTTGAAATTCCTTTGTCTTTCAAAGAGCAAAACTTCTGTTTAAAATTAGTCAAATGAAAACTAGTAATAATAAATGTCAATCTGGATAAACAAAGCATGAAATCACACAAATTGCTTGTTATTGACACTGCTCTTTAACATTTGGCTTGGTCAAATTTAAGTTGACAATATTTTTGAAGCTATGTTCAATGGTCATCTTTGCCATAAGTTGGCATCAATCTGTATCACGTTACCTTTTGTACTTATGAATTTATGGAATCAGCTAAAGGAAGAAACTCATTGTTTTGGGTGGGGGCTATATTTACATGAATGAATCATTACGTATTGTTTCCTGTAAAGCAGTTTGACATTTACTTATTTTTCCTTGTTGATGCTACTATATTTACTGTTTCCTTTGTGATAAATGTGACAACAGAGGTTTTGTTATATTGTTTATGTGCTCTTTGTTTTCTTTTTAATTGTTCCAATTAATGATTGTAAAGGTTTCATGGATATCATATTTATAAGCTATTGTGTTGAATTGATTGAGATAGTTTTTTTAATCTTTTGTCATGCATATTGTAGGCATTGATTGAGAATATAAGAACTCAGTATGATGATGGAACTGCTACTGTCTTAAGTGCAGTATTGGAGGCAACAAAAACTGTTGAGAAAAAAGTGAAAATGGAGAATTCAGGTATACCAAATTCCTTGCTTTATGATTGTTTTTTTTTTCACTGTTGAGAAAGAATAGAGGGAAAACACAAGATCTTTGAGGAAATTATTAAAAGGGATCTCATGGTGAAATATACTTGATAATTTAATTTTTTAACTTAACCGAATCTATGTAGCTGACCCAGTGTGACAAGGTTGCTGTTCTGCGTGAACTGTCTCTCAGCAACTAATTCGTGTTTCTAGGATTTTGGTGGAAGTAACGAGGCCATAGATAGATGGATGGATGAACTGATGGATAGAGGCATATGGCCTAGCCTCTTTAAAGGGGTTTCTGTAGTAGTTTTGTTGTATGGTGCATCTTGTTCTGCTTGCTCCCTCCATCTAGTCCTCTATTTTGTTCTTTTATTAAGGATTCCCTATCCTTCCTTCTCTTTTTTAATTGTTCTGTTGTAGATAGGTGGAGGCATACGGCCTCTTTAAATGGGTTTCCCTAGTAGATATGTTGGATCATGTAGCTTGTTCCGTTGATTCTCTCTCCCTTGTTCTCTGTTTTATTCTTTTGTTAAGAAGGATTCCATACTTCGCTTCACTTTTGTAACTTTTCTGTTATAACGGATTTTTGTTTCACCATATAGAGAAAAGAAAGACGTCCATGGGACCACTGTTATCTCATGGTTATGTATTGATTTATGCTGTGTCATCCTATGTTTCAGTTCCCCTGTCACTGGATACAATTACCGCAGAGGTGATGAAGACTGATACAGGACGAACGATGACTATAGATCGTATCAGAGCTTCTCTTAGCCAGTTGGGCTGTTCACAGAGGATGATTGTAGATGATGCATATAGTATTGGTAAAGTTGATATTTTCCTCATGGAGGACTACTTCTGATATAAAACATGTATCATTTTATTTTCTTAATTGGTAATGTTGAAGAACTCTTTCAATGTCCTGGTTTATGATTCCTTTAGTGGTTTGTAATTCAGAATTCTTCACTTTTCAGATTTGAAGAAAATTATTGAACGGGCTCAAAATGAAGAGGTTTTAATCTTTGTGTTGTTTAGTAATTGCACTACACACACATGCAGACACATACATATTTTGATTGTGTTAAACTGTCTAATTTTATGTTCCGTGTTGTAGGTTGAGTCAATTGTGTTGAAAAGGTATGGAAGGGATGCGTACAGAATGTTCAGGCTACTGTCAAAGGATGGTTGTTTTCATGACACAGATCAGGTGATTTACTCATTAATGAAGTTAAAATTAAATTTGCTAATAAATGTAGTGATTCTGTCAGTCTTCTTTCATTGATGTTGACAGTTTGAGATTTTAGTCCAATTAACTTGATGCTTTGGATTATAGTTCACTGCAGTAACCCCATGTGAGGTTTTAAAGTTTGAACTGAGTAATGACATTTAGGGCTGTTTGAAATATTATAAATGTTCTCCCAGCAATCTCTAAATATTTTATATCTTCATTTGTGTTATTTAAAAATTATATTAGTGTACACACATACCTTTAGTTTTAAAAATTGCTGTATTATGTAATGGATTATGGTACTGTACCCATATTAATGCAATATGGATGGAGGATTAAACTTCCTACGTCAACATTTTGCACCTAGTGTCAGAATTTCTCCCTTTGGTTATTTCATTTATTCCGCTCATTTCTTTAAATAATACATACCCATTGATAGTAATAAAGATGAAATTGAGAACAAACCCAAAGGAGAAGGCATGTAAATATCTTCGTCCAAGTCACCATAAAAAGTTGCTATATAAGTTATGTAATCAGCTCAGGTTGGGCCTCGGGTAAAGTAGAAGACTCATCAAGATGACCCAAGAATCTTTTCCCTTTCACAAACATTTGGAATTAAAATGACCAGGCGGGATCATTTTTCCTGTTAAAGCGAACCATAAAATTTTCAGTAGCCACAAGACAATAAACCGAGAAAAAAGAGAGAAACTCCATGAACTAGAATCATCGAGCATGAAACCCACAGGAACTAGGAGCCACCAAGAAGACAAGAGTGACTATCTCGCTGAAGGAAACCGGGGATGATTCCATGTCAAAAATTTTCTCTTTGATGATTTCCTTCATTCTATGTCTATATATATTACATACCCATTGACATTAATTAAGACTCTAATTCTATTTCCTAATTTATTTAATCAAAATCGGGAAAGCTAAAATTCTACAATGAATAAGCAAATATTCATTAAAATAAAAGAGATACCATTATTGACACAAATAACCAATTATCTAATGCCAAAGCTGTTAGATTAGGATCTGTAATAACTTCATCCACGTTGACAGTCTTCCATGATGCTTCGCATATACGGAAATCCAATGAAATATTTATAAACTGATGTTTTCTGCCAGTAATTGCATAATCCTTCTTTTTTTCAATTCTAATTATAAAGAAATTCAATGGACTCATTCTGTAGTGTTGTTGTGACCTTTAAGTGCTTCTGTTTAATTTGTAGATAGCAGCATCTACTCTGGTTGAGAAAAAGGAGGCTCCAAAGTTGCTATATAGGTTATGGAAGGACAATTACTTGTATATGGAGGTGGTCTATCTATTCAATATTTATAAACATTTTAGAAATCAGTTTACCTTTGTGTCTGGATATTTCATCTTTTCACAACTTAATCGTTCTTACAGAAAGTAGTTGCGACGGGAGTGAAGCAAACAACTATTTTGATGTGGAAAGTCAGTAAACCTCTGCTTTGGGAACATGTACTGGATGAGATGTACCACGCTGCCTTAAATTTGAGCCTAAGAATGGCTTTTGAGCAGGAAAAGGATGAAGAGGTTAGTACATCTTGTTCATAAATTGATTGACCTCCATTAAATAAAAATGTTTATAAGATTAGGTTATAATATCTTAAGCAAGTGTTGTTTTTGTGTAAACCTTGTTGTGAGACGAATGTGGTTGTTGTAGTTTCCCATCCTCCATAGATTTTTTTAAGGAGTCTTTCATCTCTTTATTTTTATTCCTAAATATTGTTGATACTTGTATTGATTTACCATCATCACTGTATTTTTTTCNTTTGAGGAGTTTATTCGTCATCTTAGACATAAGGTAGATATTACAATATATTTCTTATCTAACATGGTGCTATCACTACCCAGTCTACCTTTTTTTCCTTGAATTTTGACCTTTTTTGTGCATTTATTTTATTTAACTTACTGTGAAAGGGTATTGAGCTTCGGAGTTATAAAAGCATACTAGATGGTCAGTGATAGTCAAACGTTTTGAATAAGAATCACAGATATTTTATTTGCAGAAAAGCTATTTTCTAGAGTATATAAGTGATCAAAGTTAAATTTGAAATTCCTTTGTCTTTCAAAGAGCAAAACTTCTGTTTAAAATTAGTCAAATGAAAACTAGTAATAATAAATGTCAATCTGGATAAACAAAGCATGAAATCACACAAATTGCTTGTTATTGACACTGCTCTTTAACATTTGGCTTGGTCAAATTTAAGTTGACAATATTTTTGAAGCTATGTTCAATGGTCATCTTTGCCATAAGTTAGCATCAATCTGTATCACGTTACCTTTTATACTTATAAATTTATGGAATCAGATAAAGGAAGAAACTCATTGTTTTGGGTGGGGGCTATATTTACATGAATGAATCATTACGTATTGTTTCCTGTAAAGCAGTTTGACATTTACTTATTTTTCCTTGTTGATGCTACTATATTTACTGTTTCCTTTGTGATAAATGTGACAACAGAGGTTTTGTTATATTGTTTATGTGCTCTTTGTTTTCTTTTTAATTGTTCCAATTAATGATTGTAAAGGTTTCATGGATATCATATTTATAAGCTATTGTGTTGAATTGATTGAGATAGTTTTTTTAATCTTTTGTCATGCATATTGTAGGCATTGATTGAGAATATAAGAACTCAGTATGATGATGGAACTGCTACTGTCTTAAGTGCAGTATTGGAGGCAACAAAAACTGTTGAGAAAAAAGTGAAAATGGAGAATTCAGGTATACCAAATTCCTTGCTTTATGATTGTTTTTTTTTTCACTGTTGAGAAAGAATAGAGGGAAAACACAAGATCTTTGAGGAAATTATTAAAAGGGATCTCATGGTGAAATATACTTGATAATTTAATTTTTTAACTTAACCGAATCTATGTAGCTGACCCAGTGTGACAAGGTTGCTGTTCTGCGTGAACTGTCTCTCAGCAACTAATTCGTGTTTCTAGGATTTTGGTGGAAGTAACGAGGCCATAGATAGATGGATGGATGAACTGATGGATAGAGGCATATGGCCTAGCCTCTTTAAAGGGGTTTCTGTAGTAGTTTTGTTGTATGGTGCATCTTGTTCTGCTTGCTCCCTCCATCTAGTCCTCTATTTTGTTCTTTTATTAAGGATTCCCTATCCTTCCTTCTCTTTTTTAATTGTTCTGTTGTAGATAGGTGGAGGCATACGGCCTCTTTAAATGGGTTTCCCTAGTAGATATGTTGGATCATGTAGCTTGTTCCGTTAATTCTCTCTCCCTTGTTCTCTGTTTTATTCTTTTGTTAAGAAGGATTCCATACTTCGCTTCACTTTTGTAACTTTTCTGTTATAACGGATTTTTGTTTCACCATATAGAGAAAAGAAAGACGTCCATGGGACCACTGTTATCTCATGGTTATGTATTGATTTATGCTGTGTCATCCTATGTTTCAGTTCCCCTGTCACTGGATACAATTACCGCAGAGGTGATGAAGACTGATACAGGACGAACGATGACTATAGATCGTATCAGAGCTTCTCTTAGCCAGTTGGGCTGTTCACAGAGGATGATTGTAGATGATGCATATAGTATTGGTAAAGTTGATATTTTCCTCATGGAGGACTACTTCTGATATAAAACATGTATCATTTTATTTTCTTAATTGGTAATGTTGAAGAACTCTTTCAATGTCCTGGTTTATGATTCCTTTAGTGGTTTGTAATTCAGAATTCTTCACTTTTCAGATTTGAAGAAAATTATTGAACGGGCTCAAAATGAAGAGGTTTTAATCTTTGTGTTGTTTAGTAATTGCACTACACACACATGCAGACACATACATATTTTGATTGTGTTAAACTGTCTAATTTTATGTTCCGTGTTGTAGGTTGAGTCAATTGTGTTGAAAAGGTATGGAAGGGATGCGTACAGAATGTTCAGGCTACTGTCAAAGGATGGTTGTTTTCATGACACAGATCAGGTGATTTACTCATTAATGAAGTTAAAATTAAATTTGCTAATAAATGTAGTGATTCTGTCAGTCTTCTTTCATTGATGTTGACAGTTTGAGATTTTAGTCCAATTAACTTGATGCTTTGGATTATAGTTCACTGCAGTAACCCCATGTGAGGTTTTAAAGTTTGAACTGAGTAATGACATTTAGGGCTGTTTGAAATATTATAAATGTTCTCCCAGCAATCTCTAAATATTTTATATCTTCATTTGTGTTATTTAAAAATTATATTAGTGTACACACATACCTTTAGTTTTAAAAATTGCTGTATTATGTAATGGATTATGGTACTGTACCCATATTAATGCAATATGGATGGAGGATTAAACTTCCTACGTCAACATTTTGCACCTAGTGTCAGAATTTCTCCCTTTGGTTATTTCATTTATTCCGCTCATTTCTTTAAATAATACATACCCATTGATAGTAATAAAGATGAAATTGAGAACAAACCCAAAGGAGAAGGCATGTAAATATCTTCGTCCAAGTCACCATAAAAAGTTGCTATATAAGTTATGTAATCAGCTCAGGTTGGGCCTCGGGTAAAGTAGAAGACTCATCAAGATGACCCAAGAATCTTTTCCCTTTCACAAACATTTGGAATTAAAATGACCAGGCGGGATCATTTTTCCTGTTAAAGCGAACCATAAAATTTTCAGTAGCCACAAGACAATAAACCGAGAAAAAAGAGAGAAACTCCATGAACTAGAATCATCGAGCATGAAACCCACAGGAACTAGGAGCCACCAAGAAGACAAGAGTGACTATCTCGCTGAAGGAAACCGGGGATGATTCCATGTCAAAAATTTTCTCTTTGATGATTTCCTTCATTCTATGTCTATATATATTACATACCCATTGACATTAATTAAGACTCTAATTCTATTTCCTAATTTATTTAATCAAAATCGGGAAAGCTAAAATTCTACAATGAATAAGCAAATATTCATTAAAATAAAAGAGATACCATTATTGACACAAATAACCAATTATCTAATGCCAAAGCTGTTAGATTAGGATCTGTAATAACTTCATCCACGTTGACAGTCTTCCATGATGCTTCGCATATACGGAAATCCAATGAAATATTTATAAACTGATGTTTTCTGCCAGTAATTGCATAATCCTTCTTTTTTTCAATTCTAATTATAAAGAAATTCAATGGACTCATTCTGTAGTGTTGTTGTGACCTTTAAGTGCTTCTGTTTAATTTGTAGATAGCAGCATCTACTCTGGTTGAGAAAAAGGAGGCTCCAAAGTTGCTATATAGGTTATGGAAGGACAATTACTTGTATATGGAGGTGGTCTATCTATTCAATATTTATAAACATTTTAGAAATCAGTTTACCTTTGTGTCTGGATATTTCATCTTTTCACAACTTAATCGTTCTTACAGAAAGTAGTTGCGACGGGAGTGAAGCAAACAACTATTTTGATGTGGAAAGTCAGTAAACCTCTGCTTTGGGAACATGTACTGGATGAGATGTACCACGCTGCCTTAAATTTGAGCCTAAGAATGGCTTTTGAGCAGGAAAAGGATGAAGAGGTTAGTACATCTTGTTCATAAATTGATTGACCTCCATTAAATAAAAATGTTTATAAGATTAGGTTATAATATCTTAAGCAAGTGTTGTTTTTGTGTAAACCTTGTTGTGAGACGAATGTGGTTGTTGTAGTTTCCCATCCTCCATAGATTTTTTTAAGGAGTCTTTCATCTCTTTATTTTTATTCCTAAATATTGTTGATACTTGTATTGATTTACCATCATCACTGTATTTTTTTCGGTCATCAATGTCTTGCAAAATTATTGAAAAAAAGAAATCATAGCTGAATTAATAAAATGTTATATTCAAGTAACGATAATGATCCTATTATCTGCTAAAAGGGATACATTAAGGACGTGTGAGATAGCTGTGAAAATTAACATATAATAAACATTGAAAAATTATCATAAGTTAAATTGTTAGATAGATAAAATCAGCTTTTTAATTTTCTTTTTTAAATTTAAACAAATGTCCCCCAAAACTATCAATAACTCTCCAAAAACAATTTCTTTCCTCCAACACCAGCTAAAAAATCAACAATTTAAATTATTCCCAACAAGTTTCTGATATGTAGACTATACGGATTTGTCGTGTATTTTAAAGCATACATATATTACAACTTAACTAATAATCATGTCTTTGTAAATCTTTTAGGTGCAAATGGCTATAAAGTTTGCATTGTACATTGTTTTTGCCGATTATCAAATATTCCAGTCTGAAGTAATAGTTGTGGGAGTCTACCTTCTATTACTATTAGAAAAGGGCAGTTTTCAGTAAGTAGTTCTAGGTGCTATAATTCATTATCTGAGCTGTTGCCAATTTCCATGGACTTCTTGGCATAATGACAGTTGTCAACTGAGAATAGGGTTCCCTCAATTTTGACCTGGTCTGATACTCGGAAACAAAATATATAATGTAGTTGGTACTTTTTGGTGTTAATGGCATGTTGTTGTACAACAAGCAATGCTTTGCATTTTTACTACATTTACTGCGTTAAGTTTAATATATATATATATATATATATATATATATATGTTGCTTGGTTTGCACTGAAGTGTTCTTGCTACTTGTTTCAGCTTTTGAATGTTCCTAAAGACAAGCTTAAGGAGCCAGGGCCACTGCAGAAGAAATACAAACGGCTACTAAATGTCTGGTTACTCCTGGGGTCATCATTGACGAAGCTCGATGAAGCTCTCATGCTTTTCCATGATTTCTGAATACAAAATTTTGGGATAATTATAATATTTTATTTTTTTATCAAAAGAATGACAAATTTTAACTGTTCCTGACAGCCAGAAACTTCACTTTCACTGCCGTTAACAAACTGGCAGATAACTTGCATATAGAAAACAAAACGAAGTCACGCGAATTAAAATACCACTTACCATGTTGGTATTCTTTTCTCAAACCACAGTATATATTTTAATACAAAACTACTTGGCAAGCTACAAATGAGAAATGTTACATAGAAGAAAAAGTTGGGAGGAAAACGTAACCAATTCTAATGCTGTTTGTTTCTGATGATGTCCAGTGGAGAGAAGAATTGCTGTGAAAGACAGGTCACCGTGGTCAAATTACGTATTTCTTTTAGAATTTTAACTGTGGCTCTTCGTAATCTTGCCCTGTTAGAGACCTAACATACAATTATAACTCAACTTTATAATAAAATGGATAACAATTATTATAATTATAATAATAATATTAATTATCAATTAAATAACAATAAAAATAAATATTTAAACATAATTTATATTAACTCTTTTATATTTTAAATCACTTTTATAATGAAGGGGAAAATAATAACCATCTAATTTTATACATAAAAATGTACATTGAATTGAATAAATCTTCATTATTTGCTAAAGAGGAGGCACTTAATTGAAAGGAAAACAAACTTTTTATTATAGGAATTCCTTTGGGAATTTAATCAACTTTGTTATTTTAATCAACACGTATTAGACGGTAACATCGTACAAATTAAGTATACAAGTATTCAAATTTACGGTTCATTTGAATTTTTTTTGCAATCCAAAACAATCTGCATGACACTTCTTTTGATAATATGTACAGAAGTATGAATAATTTTTTGTGGCCCTTGTAACATATAGAGAGATACATACATACGGATATTTCCTACTACGTTGATTTTTTGTTTTCCAATTAAAACCAAAGCATGTTAGTTTTGAATTATAGCATGTATTGTTATGAGAAGTGTATAGTATGAAATATTAACCGAGCGGTTACAAACAACCAACCGGATATTTAGGTAATCTGTTTATATCTTATTCTGTTTATATTTTATTGGGCTTATATTAGCTCAAGATCCATGAGGAAAATAATAAATACAAAGCTAGGGCCAAGAGCTAGGTACGTTCCACTTACTCTACATGACTCTCAAATACTCAATAGTGAGAACCATTCACTAAATATTCAACCAAGAGCCGAGGCTCTTCAAATCACACGCCTAACTTGGGCGTCGGAGTACCTTTTGCAGGTACATCCCCCTCGTCAAGAAGGAGACCGATCGGTTTGCGCCAACACCGATCGGCCAACAGGAGGAGTTTGGAAGCGAGCGAGCGGCCCAGACGCGTCAGCAGGTTAGTCTCTCGGTCCCTAAAAGTATC